TCCCACGCAGAGTTTAACAGCCACACCACCGACAAAAAACACTAGAGGCGGTTAATACGAATGAAATGTTACTGGTCGCACTTGTAGCATCCTTAGCGCCTCTATACATGTCTTTAAAGAAGGCAATAAAGTCACTTATTACCTATAAACTTAGTACTGGAAAATGTTTTGGTACATGGTATTTGGCAAACAAAATGAAAACGAATCGCCTTTTTGTCATATTTATTCATTGACTAAAGATTGTAGAACACCATATTCAAAATGGACTCATTTTGGTATCTAGCAGCGGCGAAGTCAGTTTGGCCACTAAACTACTGCAATGCATTGGGACATTTTCTACTGCTCGGACAAGGGTGCGCTTCAAAGCCTAAACGCTTGGATGTCAAGTCGTGCCAGTTACGGCGTCTTGAATGGCCCATAATTTATAGTCCAATTGATTGGGGTCTGAGCTACAAGTTTCCCATTGAGCCGTGGAAATGAAGTTCTAAAAATTACGTTGAATCCTCGGGACTAGTTTGGACAGAGAGAGTATATGCCCTATTGTTCTGTTTGTTGAACAATTCTTCCCCAGCGAACATAATTAGTCTGTGACCGTTTTTCGGAGACTGGCTAAACACGGCTTTCGATTTTGCGTTAAAGATTTCAAAACTTGAAGTATTTTAAAGTCTAAGCCATTAAAGGAGAATTATTGTAATGGAATTTTAAATTTTCACAGATTTTATGTCAGTTTTACGCCAGCCATGCATTTAAAGCCTATTCTCAAATAAAACAATTGCTTCATTCAGCTGCGCCTATTTTTAGCCGCAAATAATTTCCACCAAAAGTACCTTCTCCATTCAAAAAGTCATTGTGAGTGGGATTATACCGTGCTGCAGAAATGTAAATACGTGCGTATGTGTGTGTGTACGTGCGTGTACATTTGTACATTTGGATGTGTGCATTGATAAAATGATTGCATGGTCACCTGGTTTGTTGCTGAGTTACAACAGTGCAATGTTGCAGAGCATGCGATTAAAAGTCATCGCATGAAATGCATAAAATGTACAAAAGTTACCAAAGCGACAATTGCAGTATACATATTTATGCTTATGTATATGTATGGATGCAAATACATATTTACAGCCATGGTCAGCAAGTCAGGCATGTAAAATTTCACGAATGTCTGTAATCAAATAGGGAGATGAGTGTGCAACATGACGGTGGTATTTACAAGGCTTTAGGGCGCTCATGTGAATGTATATTTGTATATGTATTTGTCGGTACAAAAACAAAACACAAATGGTGAAATACCCGTAGGAAAGTGAGCAGTTATTAAATAAAATTTATTTTTATTTTTTTTTTAACTCATCTCTTCGCCACTCTATATTTACATGTAGTTTCGTAGGAATCCTAAAAGTTCGAAGTCCTAAAGAATCCCGAAAAAAGCTTCAAGGAATCCGAACAAATCACTAGAGATTTCCAAAATTGCTGAAAAAGAAACAAAAAACGAAAATCACTTGAAAATGTTGAATGAAAGGTTCCGAAATTAATCGAAAAATTCGAAGCGGCTCATAAAAAATGTACAAAGAAAACTTTGACAGAGCCCGAATAACAACTGGAAGAAAACAAACTGTTCCGAATAGCATCGAAAATAACTGAAAAAAAACAAAAACAATCCAAAAATTTCCAAAAAAAAAAAAATGCTACCGAGATAAGCGCCCCAAAAAATGCTGAACCGTTCTTGAAAAAGTGATTTCAAAACTATACCGAAAAGAGTTCAGAAGCCTCAAAAAACCGTTGAAAAAAGTTCGAACGACTACAACAAGTTCAGAAGTATTGCAAAAAGTTCCGAAAAAATCCCGAGAAGTTTCGAG